TTAAACCACTTTAGACATATGGGATCGAACAATGGGGACAGCAATGAAATCAAATATAAAAAATCATCCCGTCATTCCTGTCAAAAGTCCTTCGGAAAATTGTAGATGCACCCTTTTATGTTTCAAACCTCACGTTACCACTGACCTTAACACTCGTTTCATCACGCAACTGCCACTGACCGCTTTAATAATTTTTATGACAGACTGACTCTAAATTCCAATCCACTTACTCAAGCTCTATCTACTGCCATTAATCCATATAATCCGCCCTAAAGACTGCTGAGGTGCTGGCCAAGAGACTTATTGCATTGAAGTACTTGCTGTATTATTTTTTTTTTATGTGCTTGTAATTTTATTACTTTTTTTTTATCTTTTTGTTTTGTTATTATTATTTTTTTTTTATGCTATAATTTCTTCTCCTTGATATGATATTTACTAAATACCAAGGTAGATGGCAAATTTATTGTGAGCCAGGAATATGTATAACTAATAAATAAAAATAAATAACTGTATTTTTCATCATTTAACTATTCTTTCTATATTCAATCGTTTAACAAATATTTCTCAGGAATGTGTTTATGAATATCGGCTTTCCTTCTGGACATTTGAAATTAAATATATCGGCTTTTGATGGCTAAATTTTAATATCGGTATTACGGTATATCGAAAAAAAAAAAAAAAACCTTTGGGCAAAAAGGTTCATATATTTTAATAAAAATATCGATATTCTGACATATAGATTTTTTTTTCAAACATTTATTATAGGGTAGTAAAACATTCAGTATGTCTTTCTTTTCTCAGCAATCACTTTAAAACAAATTAATAAATAATTGGTTGGCCCGTGAGAATAATTCGAAAAGCATATTGTTCTGTGTACAATTGACAATATAATATAGAAATAAGTTAAATCAATGTATTATGGGATCAAGGAAAATTTTTTTTCTCAGTCAAGTCAAATTAGTTCATTCATAATAATAAACCAGAACATGCGCACATTACTTTACTGTATATTTCCTAATAATGGACCGATTTCAATGATTTTTTTTGTTTTGTAGGGAATTTAGGAATCTGAATTTAAATATTTTTGGGTTTAATTCATAAAAAATGACCCCTTTTTCTATTTATCTGCAAATATTTTCTTTTAACAACTCTTATTTTTGAAATTTCGGAAGGATGAGACTATAATATGTCACTTCTCCGTGAAGTATGTTTTCTTTTGATAGAAAAGGGATCTACACTGAGAAGTAGGGATGGTCGGGCAGAACGAATTCCACCACTGGAATAGTTTGGAACGGAACGAGACAATCGGAAATATCGTTCCGATGGAACGTAATATAAGAATATAAACGTCTTTATGTTTCGATGGGTAAATGTTCGGCAGAAAAGTCAAATAGGAAAAAAGGGATTTATAGCAACTAAGGTTAGTGCGCTGATATTTCTTGTGTTGTAAGGGATGTATTGTATTAAACATAATTGTCTAAAAATGTTTTATTTATTAAAATTAACAATTTAAAAATAATATTTTTGTTATAAGGTGGTTTTGAAATTGTGTTAATCTCTAAGATTTCTGTCATAGGAATAGATTCGTATGTATAAGTGATAAACTTAATATTTCTAACCCTAATATTTGCATTTTCATGAAAATACTTGAAGCATGCAGCAGGTTTCTTTATTTTTAACGTAAATTTTAGTAAGAAACATTAAGTTTGCCACTTCTTCCAGATCCACTCGCATATAAATTCATAAATTTGTTTGCGAGGAGATCTGGAAGAAAAACACCACTTTACATAAAAAATATTTTTTAAATCCTTTTTTTTTATTTTTTTATATTTATAAATAAACTATGTGTTTAGGCAATTATGATTATTACAATACGCCCCTTATTAGAGAAAACAAGAAAAAAAAACTTTGAAAAAGTTAATTGTAGTAATTTTTGTAGTAAATACGGGTACTTAAAGATGACTGAGTAGGAAATCACATCATTTCTTAAATGTGTTTTTTGGCATTCCATATCTCGGAAAAACAAAAAATCAGAGCTTTACAACTGTTAATTATATTTATTTATTATTTATTGTAGCCATTGCAGAAAATAAGGGTACTTTAAGTTGGCGGGATAGAAAATCACACCATTTCTTTACATCACTTGAGTTAAATATCAAATTCTTTCCTTATAAGTCTCAACATAATTAATATGGACTTGGAGCTTATTTAACGAGAAAGCTTTTTTAAGAGTGGAATAAATCTAGTACAGTTGATGGGTGATAAAAAAAAATCACAAATAATTGATGATTTATTTTTTAACGGAAACTAAGTGTGTTTGTTCGCTCAATAGTCCTTTTTTAAATAGTTTTAACAATGACAAACTCTGATTTCGTTTAAAGTAAATTTTGTCTTGTTTACTGTGGAGCAATATTTAATTACTTAAATCAAAAATATTTTTAGCTATCGATTCCTATTCAACAGAAAACGTGACTCGCTTGAAAATACAAATCTTAAATTTCCTACTTTTCTGCTGGAAATTGGGCAATTGTTTATATAAAAGTTTTTGTAGATATTGATGTGTATTATCAACCTTTAAAATATTTTTCCTCTACTTACACAATGTAAGATGATTATATTAAATGTTACTTCAAATTCCATAGTATTAATGAAGGAAAATGTATTATTACTTAGCTAAATGGTTTTAGCATTCATTACGAAAGCTTAGCATACCACTTTAATAAGCAGGTAGCTGACAGTGTGCTTAATTATGAAAGAAGTTGTCGGAAAGTTGGATAAATACTTTAAAGGGGACAGCCAAGGGTCGGGGGTTCGAGAGGGGACGAGTTTAAGAAGAAAGTCACACAAAGGAAGAATTAATAATGCAAAAATAATTAGCCTAATTTTGAGAGGGGCTTGTCGTGCAAACAACTTTTATTTAAATTTACACTGATTCAATTATTTTAGCGAGCACTGACTAATCCATTCTTTAGTCATCGTTTTGATGGTCTATGCTTTTCATTGAGTTTCGGCTCAGAATATTTTAAAGTAAGGGGTTAAAACTATTGTTCTTATTATTACAAATTGGTTAAAAACTTTAAAGATTGATAGGTAATGGCTAATTAGGCGTAATTTCGATTAAAATTATCATTTCATCTTGAGACATCACTGGAATAGCGTACGAGCTACTCAACATAGCCTTGAAGAAAGAAAATATAATAACGAGACCTATATAGGCTGGGCCATATCATCAAGTTTACCTCATACCCCTCACTTTTGTGGATGTTATCCTCTTATTCGGGAATAACGGAAGAAATTCACAATTTAATCTCAGACTCCTCCAAGAAGATTTGTATCTGTTTAATATGGATATTGACACTGAATAATTTAAAGTAGTGAGAATACAAAGGGTTGAGAACGTGGAGACCGAATAGTTTGACTGAAGGGAGATGAGCTGGAACAAATCAGTGACTTTAAGTGGGATAGAGGGGATCTAAAAGTTACTGAGGTAATCTGTTCTGAATGATAGCTCCAAAACGAAAAAATGGAAAATATAAGTCCTATAGTAACTTAATTCATATATGTCCTATGATTCTTAAGATACTAATTATAATCTGACCTATGTTATATGTTCCTCATTATAAAAACTGAAAAGTGAGATAAGATATAGCCTAAAAGTACTCCTTGGGGATATGAAGTAATCATAGATTATTAATCATGATTTTTTTTTTTAAACTGTCCGAATTATTTGACTGAATATTCTTGGGATATTGTTGATTAATCATTAAATAAATTAATATGTATTTTTTTCATCATCTATATTCCTGATAGAGCTAGTTAGGGCAAGTTGTCTTCCTGTATACTACATTTCATATAAAAATATTCGTTATTGGTACACCCAAAAGTCTTTCAGATCTATAAAGAAGAACCTGTGTACAAATTATAAGGTAGCATAAATTTTGTTAATATGTCACTTTTTAAATAATATTTGAGGTTGTTTAAAATTGGAAATTTTAGCCCAGCTCTCCCCTTCTTGGGGTCATATCTCAATAACAAAGCCAAGTGTAGTAGACATCCCCCTGTATTTACGCCTTTAGATGACAATGTGTGAGGGAATGAGAAGGAATGTATAATATATAGGAATTGGGGTTGCATTGTGTAAATTGTACTCAATGGTGCAGTGGACGAATTGCTCATTGGAAAATCTCATATCGATAAACAATCGAAAAGAAGAAAAAAGGTCCGATCAGGTAGCAGCAGCTGGAAGGGGACGCCAGCCACTTGAGGCTGGGACACGGAGGCGAGAGGAAGTCATCTGGGAAGAAAGGCCTACTACATTGAAGACCAAGAATATCAAGGCTACAGTTACAAGACTCTTATACATTCACTTATTACAGTTATAAAATAAATTGTTTTATTATACAGGAGTGAAAGTCATTTTATTTAGTTGTCCTATATGCCTCACAATTGAAGAATAACAAACCAGGTGAGTCAATTCATTCAAAGTGTATTTACTAGTGCCGGGGATTTGTTTTAATATTCAGGAGTGTACATAACCTAAGGTCCCCGGTATATAAACGGAAGGCTATTCGCCTATTCCCGCCAAAACAAATCATTTAAAATTAACTTATAGGTTATTTACATAAGTTAGACGGCGAAATCGAAGGAAGGAAAAAATTGGCCGGCTATTGCTTACATCTACTCAAGTCTGATTTCCTGGGAAAAACCCTACTGCCGTATGCGATTGAGTCTAGGACTCTGACCTCAATGTACCTAGTTCTATCATAAATACTGTTAAAAAAGTTGAGCTTTAATTACATCCTTGGATATTATTTTAATAATTCTTACATCTATCAGGAAAGACTCAACTAGTTTAACTGGTACAGGAGTATATATAGGGAACCTTAATATAGAACTAACCATACCACTAGGTAAACATGCTGCAGTATTTCAAGCAGAGGTGTGTTTGTTTTCTGCAGCCACCTGTTTAGAAGTTACCAATTGCGAGAATGCATCACTATCTATTCGGATGGACAGTCGGCACTACAAGCAATAGAGTCTCCCAAAGTGACCTCCACACTAGTGCAGGAGTGTAAACAGGCGTTAGAAAAACTGGTCTGTTCCAAGAGGGTGGAACTAGTGTGGGTCCCTGGTCAAGGGAATTAAAGGCAACGAAAAAGTCCTTGCAAGAAAAGGAGAGGAATTTCGTCTTGTAGGCCCGGAACCTGCAATAGGAATATGCAAAAAGCATCAGCGGAAAGAAGTCCTTGATTGGACTTCACAGAAACAGTTAAAGAATGGAGGGAATGCACTGGGTGTAGACAAGCGAAGCAATTTATTAAAAGCCCCTCCCTTTCCAAAACAAATTGGCTGCTGGGCCTAAGTAGGAAGGAAATCCGAGTCATCACCGGAGTACTAACAGGCCTCTGCAGACTTAAAAGACATTTAAAGATCTGTGGGATAATGGATAATGAGCTCTGTAATCTCTGCTGAAGTGCACCTGAAACTGCCTTTCACTTCATAACGGAATGCGAGCGATTTGCGTCATTCGGATACAGACTTCTGAGAGCAGACAGAATCCAAGTATTAAAAGCTGCCTCTATAAATTGTTCCAACCTTTTGAACTTCATTAGAAGAACAAAAAAGTTTGAGACAGAATAGAGGTACAATAGACAACCACTGGTAGTATCAAATTTTTGGGGTTGACAAAAAGGACCAGTAGGCCCACTTGCTGGAGTAAGTCCCTCCACCAGTACCAGTACCTCTATCAGGTTATTTTCTTGACATGTCAGGATAATAATCCCAATTAGTTTGTATTTTTCTTTCGCTCAGTTAAAATGGAGTGGGGTGTAAAGAAAACCGAATAGCTGTGATCGCCTTACACAAAGTTGGAAAATGCAGATCAGAGATTTCCAACACTTTGAAACCTCAGTGTATCAGCCTTATGTTCGTGTACCGCACTATAAATAGATATAATGAGACCCTAGTTATTTGAGACACACTTGCTGGGCCGTCCCGGCACTGTGAGAACGGCAAATGCAGTGAGAACGGTGCTGCTCGAATAAGAAGAAATTCCATTCGAATACAAGTCATGACTCGGAAATGGAAATCCCTGTCAGATAAATGCCTGGTATAATAAAAAATAACCTTAGCATGATCGTGTGTACACACACAGCTCTAAAGAATCCCAGGAAGTCATTGGAAGAGTGGAAAGTGGTCATCACCCTTTCCCAGTGATGGTTTGGTGGGGAGTTTGCTTTGATGGCACTTGAAAGCTCCATTTATGTGAAAAAAGTTAAAACAGCCGCTAAAAACTACCAGGACGATATTTTGGAACCTGTTGTCAAAACTTTTAATAATACTCTATGCTGTTATTAATGACTGGCCACGTAGATTAAATTCCTGGGATAAGGTGAAAGGGGGACATTTTGAGAAAAAAACAAGCAGGGACTGGATCTGAAATACTACAATGAGAATTAACCTGGGATTATAACCGGTCGAGCACGGGGACGGGGTGGCCGAATGGGCTAAAGCGTTGTGCCCTGCACCGCGAGTTTTTTTATTTTTTTTTTATTTTTTTTCCACTCTCCCATGCCACCAGGGCAACACGGTTGTATGCAGTAGTGTGATGTTAAGCACTAATGCATAATAACACACTACTGCTATAATATCGGTTTACAAAATTCTATGCTGTGCACACAGCTAGCTCTTCCACTTCCTCATTCTTCAGCAAATTAGGCCTGGCTTTCCGAATCCGGAGGTCTTCCTGGGACTGGTCCTCTTCTCCTTCTGCGTGCACTTAGGTTGAAGTGAGCTGGGCCCACCGCCGTCTTCCAGCCATTTATAAACTCTTTGAACCGCGGGAAGTTTTCTTTACTCACCAACTGAGGAAACTCCTCCTCAGTGAGGACGTAAATCCCCGTGGTTCTCATTAACCTTGCTCTTAATTCGTCGAAAGCAGTGCAGGCCGTGACCACATGCTCAACAGTCTCCGGAACACCACAATCGGGGCAGTGGGGATCTATATCCTGTCCGAAGCCATGAAGTTTAGCTCTGAAACCCCCATGCCCCGTGAGCACCGCGAGTTGCCAGGCAACCGGATAAGAGATTTGAGAAGATTTAAGAAGTATGTATTCACATCCCGGTGCCGAAGGGGATTTTTTTAAATTCCCCGCCCTCACCCTCCGCCCCAGGAAAATCCCGTATAATCAAAAAGGCGAGGTAGGGAAGAACAAAAAAAAAAAAAAAAAAACCGGTCGAGCATGTAATATATGCTACGGTGGTCTAGCCACATTGTAAAAACACTTGAATTACTATAATTACGTACAATCCGAGAATGAGAAAAGAAAGCTAAGAGGAAGGCCTACGATTTATATAATACTAACATTTAAAAAGGTGCAGTTCCGGAGGAAATCAACAGAAAAGGAATGGATTGAAATAGATAAAATAAAGAAGTGTATTAAAAACTATCAAATAAGTTGATGATAAAGCTGCAGATATAACAGCTAACGGCAATGAAGAGTGTACTTTCTGTTATAAGATAAAACTTTAGTTTTTTTTTTAACAGAATATGGAACAACAAATACAGATTGGTAAATATTACGTACATTTTGTAGCCTAACGTTCGGAATTAATCGTTTTCACAGAATTACTGTATATTTAATCTGTCTAAGTTTATTTTTCGCCGTGATGATCCAGTTAAGCGACCATTTATTGAATAATGTTGACATCATTAGTGAATATAGGTCATCGTGAGGTTTATATATAATTATGCAGTTGTACAATTCAATAATTAAGCCTTTGTTACTTCAACAGCTTTACAAAAACTCCTGTTTTTTTGTTATGAATTTTCGCAAAAATAATTAGCATCAAAGAAAATTGATGGAGACAGAGGATGGAATCCAAATAAATAAAATAATACTTACGATTGGTCTACTGATTATAATTAATATTTATTTATATATTAATCTTGCTTTGTAAACCAATGTATATAAACCAATCATTATTCCATACTGTATATTGTTGTTCTTTGTGATATTGTATCGAACAACAAAGCTTTTCAATTTTATCTCATTCGGTGTCAAGAGTTATACCTACAAGGAACAATAATCTATCTCTGAGATATAGTATAGAAAAGTGCCACCTGTTACAATATTACCAAACAATCAGTTATTTTATTTTTTATTTTGTTTGCTCTCGTTCTAAGCCAATATGTACCTTACTTATCAAGAAATAGCTTGTGATGTTTCCTTAGCGAGACGAGAAAGAGGAAAATGTCTTATAGAGTTAATCCTGTTATTTCTTCCTGAAGCGATGGGCAAACATAACTAATAAACTTCTTCTCCTCTGAAGCAGAAGTGTGAGATCGGTTTTAGGACTTATTTAAAATTTGCTTGTTGTCACTTAAAAGAAATTAGAAATTCCAAAATAAACTACTGATGGATAAAAGTTTGGTTTATTTTCTATAAAAGAAAAAAAAAGGCTCCATAATATTACACAATGTTTTATTTCCAAATAGTGGACACTACATTCTCTACCATTTCTGATTTTTTAAAAATTTATTTATGATATTTACAACTTTATTAGTATAAATACATCAATTAAATGTGTATAGAGAAATATAATCACATGAAAACACTTGTTGAGAAACTACCCATTGGTAGTACTCTAATAATATGTCTACATAAAGAGATAACGAAGCCATCTTCTTTTCAGACGCCTCGTTGGGTTATCGGGAATCGAAGAGGAAGCAAGGCTAGAAAAAAGAGGATTCGGATGATTATTAAGTTTATAATGGAAGGATAGGTATCTGGATTGGGCCAATCGGAAACATGGAATATTAAGGTCTTTATAGATTATTTTATTTGTGACAAAGTAAGGATTATTAAGGATTTTACGAAGGATTTTGGATTGTAGGGATTGGATACGAGAGGAATTTGATGGTTTATTAGAGCCCCATAGATCAACTCCGTAAGTCCAAATAGGCGTTATTATAGTCATGTATATGAGTCTTTTGTAATTAATTGGAAGTTTAGAGCGTTTGTCCAGTAAGTGCTGGAGTAAGCAGAAGCGTCTTGAATTTTCTTTTCTTTTCAATCTTGTATGAGGATTCGAAGTGAGACGTTTGTCCAGGTGGAATCCTAGTTATCGGATTTGTTCTACAGGGATAAGTGGGGTGTTATTAAAGGATACTGTAGGATATTAAGTCATATAATTACGACAAAGGGTATAGGTGATTTGATAGGATTTATTGGAATTTACTTAATTCACGTGTTTTGACAAAATTCACAAAAGGTTTGTGATGTGTGATTGAAGAATTTGGGATACAATCAATGGATCATTATTAACTGATAGGATGCGTGTGTTATCAGCAAACGTGGTGATGACAATATTAGGATGGGTTGGAATATCAGCTGTATGACCTGTGTAAAGGATAGGACCAAGGATCCTACCTTCAGAAACACCGCCAGATTGAGAAAAGAGAGATGAATAGTTATTATTGTGATTTACTTTCAAGTGTCTATCACTAAGGTAGGAACTGATGATAAGAAAATATGTAGAAGGAAGAAATTTACGGAGGATTAGAATGATGAATTAGATTCTGGTGACAGTTTGTAAATCTGGACGGGATAACGCCAAAGACATATGGGATATTTAGCTCATACTATAGGGTTTTGTTTGTGACATAATAAGAAGGATTGACTATTGTTCTGAGTACTTTGGACTGGAAGGATTGGATAGTTTGATATTTAAAAATTTCGCTCAAGTCCGTTGGTCCAGTTAGTATTTTAGTTTTAGTCCATAAGTCCAAGTCAGTATTTTGTCTAAAAGGAAGCCAAAATACCGAAAAGTGTCTGAGATGAATAGTTGAATAGACTTAAATAGGATTGGCGGATATGATCTGCGTCGGAAGGTAAAGGTGACATGTTTACATTTTGATTCATTAACTTTGATGCACCAATTGTTCAATCAGTGAAAGGTATTTTTGGGTGCTATTTCGGAATCAGCAAATGTTGCTAGGAAGATTTCGGAATTTTTAGGGATATCTGCAGTGAAATGAATGTAGAGAATAGGACCCAAAAATTGCCTTGTGGGACACCAGTCTCGACTGGGTAACATTCAGAAAATTCTGAGCCAAAGAGTACTCAGAAGGAATGATTGGAGAGGTATGATTTGAGGATTAAATAAAAGGATTGGAGTAAATGGGTTTTGAGCTTGAAAAGAAAACCACTGATTGTGCTTGATAAGGCCCCAGTGCAATATTGCTTACTTTCAACAGAAGTAATACATTTATAAAACCTAATTATTTTTCATACAACAACTCGGTTGCTTCCGTAGTTATGATTTTTTCAAGTAGTTGAAAAAAAAAATCTGCAAAGATGATATAACGTTATATATTAGAACTCA